TAGAGACATATACAGCAGCAGATAATTCATCGAGTACGCAGAGATCTACCCTTGACTGACCCTATTGATTTAAAAACAAAGAATTTGGAGAATCCTTTGAATTTGTTTGCTCAGCACTCTTTTCAACATGTACAGTGGTAATATTCTAGAAAAGACAGATAAACACAACAAGGCAGTAGGTCATAGAAAATCTTTTAGGCTGGTCCAATGGATGAGAAGTAGGACAGGTCTTCCCAACATATAAACCATCATTACAACTTCCATCCCTTGCCAGCAGTCTTAGCAAAGAGGCCAACGAATGAATGATCGTTACTATGCAATAACCTTCCTAAAGTAGTACATCCAGGTTACAGCTGAGGTCCATTAGCAGGGCACCCTATGGGAAACATTGCTTCTGGCAGGGCTGACCCTGACCTGTCAATAAACCCAGAGCTTGAGTCTGTAGAGCTTTCACTTGCACTTTTGTCACAAAAATATTAATGTTTATGTACCACTGACAGCCAGACCTGGGACCACTGGAGCTTAGTGCATGAGTCTCTACAACTTGAGCTATAAAGCCAGCTGGCGCTCAGATAAGGCAGTAGAGCAAACTCATTGTTCTTTCTCTCTGTAAGTGGTCTAAGAGCCACTACATGGGACAGTGAACCACACTGAGGTGGTGTGTGGGCTACATTTACAAATAAACAGTCCTCTGGGTATGTCTACACTACCACCCTAGTTCGAACTAGGGTGGTAATGTAGGCAACCGGAGTTGCAAATGAAGCCCGGGATTTGAATTTCCTGGGCTTCATTTGCATAAAGCCGGGCGCCGCCATTTTTAAATGTCCACTAGTGCGGGCTCCGTGTTCGGACTAGGAATCCTTTAAAAATGGCGGCACCCGGCTTTATGCAAATGAAGCCCGGGAAATTCAAATCCCGGGCTTCATTTGCAACTCCGGTTGCCTACATTACCACCCTAGTTTGAACTAGGGTGGTAGTGTAGACATACCCTCAGAGTGCCAGGTGGTATCTAGTAGGATAAGAGGATGGATTCTTCACTCACTAGTTCAAGACAGGAGTAATTCAATGTAAGTGGACAGTCCACCTCATAAAGAAGGAGAATCCTACGATTTTGTAATTTGGAAACCATCTTAGATTTCCTTCTCTGATTAATACTTAAGGAGATGATACCCTTTTGTAGCAAATACTCTCTCTAATGTATAGAGAGCCAATGTTGTAAAGGGAAGGAGCACAGTGAGGCAGTGAACAATGAGGCTTTTTTACTCTGGCTTTGTAGACTAGAAGTAGCATCACAGTATGTGCTGCAACATGAGGCAATTTACTCCAACTTCAGCCTCCTGCTTCTCACACCTAGTGACTTATACAGCTCCAGGAGCAGCTCCTGCCAGCAGATCAAGTAGAGGCTTTGAGGGATTCCATAGGAGTTTTTATCAGCGCTTCTGATCAGAGTAGTTTGTGAGGCATGGATCCTTTCAGCAGGGAAACTCAATAAGCCAAAGGTAGGAACGGTGGGTGTTCTAGAGACCCTTAAAGCACAAGACAAATTAAACACCCACTTCCTATGTTTTTTCACCAGGATCTTTACCTCAATGTGGGTGAGGGCATCTGTCAGGTCTTGGTGACTCTTGTGAATTGCCTCAGCATCCTTCAGTCGCTTGCCTCGTAACCTGGTTATTTCCAACAACTCTTCCCAGGAGTTCCTGCAAAGGACAATGGCGAGACAGGCTATGAAAGCGTATGTCTAGACTACATGCCTCTGTCGGCAGAGGCATGTAAAATAGGCTACCTGACATAGTCAATGAAGCGGGGATTTAAATATCCCTGGCATCATTAAAATAAACATGGCTGCCATGCTGTGCCAGCTCAGCTGATCGTGAGCACAGCGCATGAGTCAAGACATGGATTGGTCGACAAGGGAAGCCTTTGTTGACCGCTCTGTTATGCCTTGTGAAACAAGGTTTACAGGAAGGGTCAACAAAGGCTTCCCCTGTCGACTGATCCATGTCTTGACTGCCGCGCTGTGCCGACAATCAGCTGATCCGGCACAGCACGGTGGCCATTTTTATTTTAATGAAGCCAGGGATATTTAAATCCCCGCTTCATTGACTATGTCAGGTAGCCTATTTTACATGCCTCTGCCGACAGAGGCATGTAGTCTAGACATACCCTAAGGGTATGAAATGGGACAAACAAGATGAATAGGAGAAGCAAAATATTTAAAAGACCCCTGTTTAAGTCACTGACTCCAGTGATTCCCTTTCAGCAGTGAATGTTTCCCATCACTGAGTCAATCTTATAACAGTTCTTGTCAAGGTCAAATTGAAGCTATTCAATGCATGCCATCATGGGACCCAAAGGGAGTGGCAGCAGAAAGTCACCTACTCACTCAGTTGCACTGTATGGGTATGTCTACACTACCACCCTAGTTCGAACTAGGGTGGTAGTGTAGACATACCCAATTTTTGTGAGCAACTTATGCCACAGCAGGCTTTTGACATTTTATTTGTAATGTGTAATAACATGATTGAAACAGAATGGTTCAGGTGCTATTACATTTCTATGAGATTCAGATG